AAATATTCCAACTAACTTTTGTTAATGTGATTATTCGTGTGTTTTACCATATGTCAAAGTGGAAGCAATCAATTATTTCTTCCCACTTACTCTCTGTGCGATCTTTTTTTCTGAGTGGATATAAAAGTTAATCTATTAGAAGCAACGAATCATCAATTCAGAAATTTGGGTTATTGTAATTTTCAAAGAGATGTGGTTTTAGAAATGTAAATGATTGATACTGAAAAAGTAGGATATTAAGTGGTATAGCTTTCCCTCAAAATGAATTAAATGGGGAGGAAAGCACGAAGAAAAGGTAGATTGGCCTTTAAGTCATTGTTATGACTATTTAGTAAGATAGATGATACCTGATATCCCGCATCCAAAATAAAGCCCGCCTCGTTAGGCCTATTTTATAAAGAAAATGCTTTATCTCTGGACTATTTCTCAGATATTTCAAAGAAAAGAATGAAAAAGGGAGGATTAGCATTGGGATGATTTTTATTAGCCGTTTCGTTTTATTTTCCATTTCCATTCCCTCAATTTCTTTTTGATTCGAAAAGTCGGGCCTTGATTTTGTTCTTCCACTAGTGTTTCCAGCGTTATTCTACTTATTTATTTCTTCATAGCTCCATTCAGGAATGAATTTCTATCAGCGTTCTCTGTTCGGTTTGCCACCATTTCATACAACTCGATTTCCATGTTGTAAGTATCCTCAATTTATTTCTTTCGAGGTTTTCATTTCTTTTTCCTGAATTAACTGACTAAAGTTATCAAATTATTTCACGGATGGATTGAAATTTGAATGACTGATAATGTGAACTTTTGAATGTTGAATAGTGCGATTATTATTTTTATAATCACTAAATCTTTTTCTTCTCGCTAATTTTTTAGAAAACAAATTAATATGCAGTGGTAAATACTGAAAATAAAGTTTAAGTTTTATCGGAAAAGGTGAGATTTCTATCGCTATTTACTTATAATTTTCCAGATACAGCATATATTTCCGATAATTTCAAGAAATTAGAGAAATGTTCTAGAGTTTTGGTAAATGATAATGCTGCAATGATTACATTAAATTATGGAATTAGGAGTAAATCAATCTGTGAATTGGTCGTATGTTGTTAATTAGTATCGGTGTCATACGCAATATCCTTTCAGGTAAAGTAGAAGTAAAAAGAATTGATGGAAAGCATGAAAAGGTGAGAAGGATAGAAAAAGGGTGAATATTATTCAAGCATATATATATATATATAGGCTTTCAAATATACCGTAGACGATGAGGTAAATGGGATGGATGTCTTAATATTTCTGCTATTCAGAAATGCCCTGCTAATATCTTCTTTTCATCACTCTTTTCCATTTCCTCATGTATTGATTTTGCAATGTTTTCATTCATTCGTTTGTTTGTCCACACTCACTGCAACTGCTACCATCGTATACCATTGGTTAATGGCTTAAAGGCTAAAGCTTAAGAGTACATTCACTGATTATTGGGTTGCCCTTAATATTTATCTAAAAGTTGCTAACAAGAATAATACAACGATAGAATTGATCTCTATCTCCTTTGTAGTTTCCACATTGATGTTTCCTTTAATTTTCGTAGAATTGAGGATTGATCTTGTTATTCTGTTGTTATTCTATTTTATTCTATTGGTTCTTTTTTCAAAAACTTCATTTCTAAATTTCTGGTTGTTCATTTGTTTGTTACCATATGCCTGATGCTTTGATCCTTTAATATGTTTCCATCATTTTCAATTATAAATGATCACGTGTGATTTGGAGCTAGTATTAAAACGTGTGACTTGGAGCTTAATCTTGAAGTAGAGAGGGTTAAATCCGAATAAATATTCTACATTGATTAAGATTTCAAAGTTTATTCCTAAATAAGAAAAAAGTAGTTGTCTTTTAAAATCTTGCATTCATTATTAAAGCCTCTACTCTTTCTTCTTCTCTCTCTCAGTCCCTTGATTGCAGTCTTTCAAGATTATAATAATGAAAGTAAATGTGCTTGTCGTGAATGGCAGCTCTTATTTTTCATACAATTCTTCGGAAGGAATAGTGGTACTATCTAATATTGCTTCCTATCTCAATGATATTATAATTGACAATTATGATATTTGTTTGTCAAAAAACAATAATTGTTGAGAGATTTTAATCTCTTTCAAAAACCACACTTCCTCACTTTCAGTTATTTAAAAATTGATGCAAATCTTAAGGGAGGAATCAAAATGGTGATTGGAATGAGTTAACAGTAAGGAAAATGTGGCCTGATTTCTCCGTCATAATTTTCCTGGAGTGATTTTCGAAAATTATATTTTAGATTATCATTAGAATGTTTATGAGTTCCGATTAGTCTAACCTGATTTTAGATTCTCGTCTAGGTTTTCAGAAAAAAAATAGAATTAATGGATTTTGTATTATTCTCGGTGAAAAAGGTTGAATTGACAATTGAAAATTTTTTTGTATGCTACTTAAAGTTGTTAGATCTATCGTCTGATAACATTTGGTCATATTAACAGTGAACAGTGATAGAGAGCGACGAAAGGTTTCTTTTTAGTCTTTTTTTCCAGATAATTCAAGATTATTTCAGATCATTCTGAATAGACGAATAAAATGTCAGTATGGCTTATGGCGGTTTCTAACTGCTCGTTCACTCGGCTTTATTAGGTTGTTGCCGATATTGCTATTAATATTGATGCTTATATCCATATATATATATATAGTATCTCTTTCTAAGAATATAGAATATATATGTATATGTATGTGTCTGCGATGTGGCGGTGATTAGTAGATAAGGAAAATTTATTAGCATGATCGAAGTGAGGTGGTTAATCTGGCATCGATGAAGTTTATTATCTCAGGTAGTTGTTACTACTGCAAATGGCATATGACTGCGTATGTGTGTGTGCGTATATACGTGTGTATGTTATGTGTATGTTGCATATGATTAGCGTGTATGTTTATATAGCTAAATGTAGTGTTAATAATGCGTGGTTTATGTTGCTTTGATCAATTAGTTCCATGTACATGAATGATTTAAATTAGGATTTAAGAAAAAGTTGAAATCATAATTAGGAAAGGTAGGAAATTAGAGATGGAAGATGGAGGAAGTTTATATCATAGAACATTCATTCTGTCTAATTAGTTAGTGAAGCTAAAGTGAGTAAACATCTTAGAAATACCATATGATAATTTTTCTATTTAAGTCATAAGCATGAAAATATTTGCGCAATTGTTTTCGAATTATGAATAATTATTTAATGCAGGAACAGAGCTATTTTCGATTTTATCTATTTATCTACACAATTTTCTGATATGAGCATTATCTGTTTTTTATTATTTTTCAAGAAATAAATATAAAGGATAGCTATATTTATTTACAACCCTAAAAGTTTGCAAATTTTGGAAATTTAACAGAAGCATTGAGAATTTCCAAATTGCGTGATTATGTTACAGTATATCAGAGTTGTTTATAAGAATTTATTTAAGTTATGACATAAAATTGCAAAATGTTATGTTTAGGAAAGAGAGGTGATATGCTAAATAACCCGTGAATGATGGAATTAAATTATCAGTCACTGTCTCAAGTTAATCACAAAAACAGAAGATGAAAATAAATAATTGCGAAAAGTCTAGTTCTGGAAATGTAGATAACTTCCTCTGGAATCCTATCTTTGAATAGTTCAACATACTTCTTACCTATACTAACTTTATTTATATGTTGCATCTGTTCCATTTACTGTGACTTTATTGGTTCTTGGTAGTTCAATTGAAAGAAACTAGTTCGATATAATGACAATACTAAAGATAGCTTTAAAAAAAAATTATCTGTAATTAAAGTTGTGTTCACTGATCGATAAAACCACGAATGTTTTCATTATCTCTACTTACTATTCGTCTGTTATCATTAGTTTCTAATGACTTATCTGTAATTCACTAATTTTTTTAAAATTTTTTTGCTTACATGCACTTAACATATTTATATGACTTGATCTCTCCCAAGCTGGACTCACTATCAATTATGATTATGGTGCATTTGAGTTTGACGGTTAACTTGTTCTTATCCATAAAATATTCTATTCTAGCTTGCTGTGTTATACGAAATTATAACAGTGTATAGGAAACCGACTGTAATCGTACTGATAATTAGTTAACCTTTTAAAAAACATTCTTCTTTTCTAGCTGGAAGTTAATCTGTCATATCCGGCATAGTTGTGCAATATTCTAATAATAGCTGAAAGATTCGATATGTATATAATTTATATATTAATTAGTTCCAGAATTATATTTATTCTGCTTTGCGTGCTCGTCGACCTCCTTTTTACGATATTTGACATTTATATGTTTATTTGTATCCTTAGTTTATAGTGAATTACTTCGAAGGAGATGGATTATGAGCGAGGAGATGGATTATAAGCTATAAATCATCTTTGGCTTGTTCTGAAGAGATAACATGTTGATTTCTTTTTTTAGATGGATATCTTGTGCTTTGTTATAAGTCTTTTTCAAAAACTATGAGCTGTAAATATTTTAGGGTAGAAAATTTGCATATCTGCTTCCATACTTTCATATAGAGTTACTACCTTTATTGCTGAAAATGTAATAATTACCAATAATTTCTTAAAAGTGGTCACTTCTGCTATCTTCCCTTTGCTCAGGTACTTTGAGGAGACTAAGAAAATGAGAGAGGAATTAAGCAGATTTTCTTGATTGCAAAAATCATGAATCACTTAGGATGGATTGATTTACTTTGTTTCGTAGAAAGATTTCATAGGAGAAATCCAATTAGTATAAAAGCTTAAATGAAAGAAATTTTCGAGTTCAATTTGAGAAAATGTCACTGATTTTTACTTTCTGAAGATGGTTCCTTGTCTTGGAGATTTCAATTTCTTTACTTATTAGCATGAAAACAAGTTCATTATTAGTTCATTTTCTGTAAAATATTCTAAAATGCACATAAAAGTATCTAGGAAAGAACTTTTCTGTGCTCTGATTTTTCTAGACCAGCGTCTTCTTAGATGGGTATTGCAGGATTCATTTAATAAAACAAAATAGAAATGGTACCACTAACATTAAAACAATACTGCAGTTACCGTACTATTTTCATGCTTGTTCCATATTTCGAACAGCCATAAATGAAAGTACCTTAGCCCTAGGACGGTCGTAAAAATTGAAAGTAAATTGGTAGCTGGTGAGTGAATCTGAATTTAATTTGATTTTCTTGATATTTTTTTACCATCGAGCCAGTTATTTTATTTTTATTTCCCAAAAATTTGTTATAACTGTCAACTAAAAGCGATAATTGTTTCAGTATCGGATTTCCCAGCAGTGTCAGCAGGAGGAGCCGGCTTAGCATCAAACAATACCGTAACCATTGATACAAGTAGTGGTACGACAATTGATACCTTCGATCAATCAGGAACTACTAGTACCAGCACTACTCACCATCATCATCATCATCAACTACTGGGTGATGAAATAACGTATGTCACTGATAGTAATTTAGCTGTACCCGCAACAGCAACAACAACTACACTTAAAACAACTACTGTAGCTGCAACAACGGAAGTTGGCTTTTTAACAAGTGAAGCAGAGGGTACCGTGGAAACGGTGATAGTTCGGTCAAGTGATATCAGTGGTAGTGACGAGACACATCAACTAAGCCTCATGGATGCCTATCCAATAGGACAAGTGACATCAACGTACCTAAGTTATTACGATATCAGTGTACTGAAGCACCGAACGTGTTGTAGTTGTGTTGCACTATATATCATCATTATCATATGAGAGCACTGACGTATGAGAAGATGTACTGTAACAGCAATTGCTGGGCAAAAAATTCAGGTTCAAAATTGCATTCCTACTTAACGCAATCTAGCAAAACATAATTTCAAATTGCGAGAGTTTTCTCAACTGTTTACCGTACTTACATCTAACCGTTACGCAGAAAATGTTCCTGAGTTCTATTCTACATTCCCTAATTCTCTGTTTCTCGATGTCTCCCTTCTGTTCACTTCTATCTTCCGCACTTTTGTATCCATTTAAAGTATGATATATATATAGAAAGTCGAAAATTTTATACCCAAAAAATTATGATTTTTGTCCATTAGTTATCAGTTTGTCATTAGTTATCAGTTAGGTTTAACTTCTACATATTACATTCGCTTTGTTTAGCTTTGGTATTTAATCAGAGAATTTGATACAACCAAAAACCTATTAGTGAGTTTGGCAAAATAATTTAAATAAGATGAAGCATAATAAATAGTTGATTAATGCTAAGAAGGTGCGATAACTGAGAAGTTAAGTAAAAAGTACTCTTTTTATTGCTAGAATAATAAGGAAGCAAAAATGCGGTGAAGAAATGAGAAAGCAAGAGAAAAGATAATTATTTTGATGAAATCTTTGTTCGATTTATTATTTTGTTCGTTTTAATTTAGCTTTCTTTTATTGTTAAAAGTAGGATAAGATAAAAGGATCAAATGAATAATAAGCTGGAAATTTAACGTACCATCTAGAGATTGTGAGAATTGGGAGTTCATCATTTCAGATTGATTCATCGGGTTAAACATGGGATGTTTCCTGTAAAATTTTAAACGTAACTAATTTTTTTGAAAAGAAATAGAGAAACGTAATCTACCATTATTAGACAATTATCCTGATAGAAAATACAATTATCCTAATAGAAAATATAATAGTATTCGTAATTTTAGTTAATAGTAACAACGTTTGGAATTTCAGCTATTGGCGTCCATTTCTTTTTTTTCTTTCAAGTATTAAAAAATAATGTATTTCACGAGGATAAAATGATTTCTTTCTTATTTAATATTAGTTTAAAAAAATGTAATTTTTAGAATCCAATAATATGTTGGAATGAGTACCACTTAATGTGATCCTGAGGTTTTTCCAAAAGTTTTTAACGGTATGTTTTGTATTATGATATTGCAACGATCCTTTATCAATTAGCTACTTTTACTATTTATTCCAAGTGAAATATACAAAGCATTTTGTCGATTTCAAGTTTCAAACATAAAAATTTCCAATTATTTCTTAATTTTCTATTGGATGATTTAGAGGAATAAATGTGATCCACAAAGAAGGTAAGGAAAAATAATTCTAAGATATTTGAGATTATGACGGTGATGGCATGATGGCGGTGGTGTAGTGGTAACCGTTGTCAGTGGTGACATTGACAGAAATAGCGTTCCAAGGTTAGCTTGATCGTCAGTCGAGATGGTTGGTTGTGATGGTTGTTGTTTAGCAACTGGAATGTAGCCACCTAGAAACAGGGATGACGACCGAAGCTAAGGCAACGGAGTGTGGGAGACTTAGGCTTTAAGCTTTAACGAAGCATGTGTCCTGTAATGTTGTTGAGATTGATGATGATGATGATGGTGATGGAATTTCTTTTGACAACAATGACAAAAACGTTGATTTCCTAAGGCAGCTGCTAACGGATGACAAGTGGAGGAAGGAGAAAGAAAAGAATAGGTAGCGACAGCAAACAGCGATAACGTGATCATTGGAGAATGCCTTTTTTGATTTTCTAGTAAGGACTTTTAGCGAGTGAAGCTATTCTTTTGGCTTTGCATGTTAAAAAGCTTCACCAAAAATGCTATTCTTATTTTACCTCAAAAATCAAGCCTTTTGGTGTCTGTGTTTCTGCATATGCATTCATATATAAATAAACATGCTATACTTGCCTCTCATCTCTTCTTTTTTTGACCATTACCAATGATTTATGAGGCATGCATATGTGTATCTATGTATTCATGTTTATCTGTCAATATGTCGAGCCTTAAAATGAAGCTTTTGAAGCTTTTACCAAAAAATTTTCGGTAACCAAGGAAGCAGCAGCAACAGCGATAGCAGCTTTATGGTATCCGGTTAAGATTGAAAGTAGGAAAACAGCCTTGAGAATATTTCTCTCTCAAAAAATGGTACTTTTTTTCTCTTCTGATTGCTCTCAACTGGTTATTGTCTTCTGTTATTTAAAAAGAAACCAATTCTTGAATTTCTAGAGGTAGACTAAATATGTTCTGAACTTTTAATATAAGAATGATGTGAATAATTGAACTCAAAAGTGTTTATTAAAGAGATATTATGAGTTACATTCTTGGAATTGCAATGACTGAAGAGCAGCTTGAAGTGATAAATAGCGTAGCTAGTAGTATTGGGAAATTTTTTGATTGCAGCTCCTGAATGATTAATTATAAAGATGAAATATTAAAGTATTTTATATCTGATCGATATTTAATGTTTTATTGTTTTGTTGTGTTTTACTTGCTATCAATTAAAAAAGTCTAGGATAGGATACTGTGTAGTTTTCAGAAGTCTTTTTTTCTTTTCTTCAAAGAATCATTCTACTCTTGAGTAAGCTAACATATATTGGATGTATTTTTACATCTTAATTTATAACCATTTTCAGGTATTTTGAGACTCCTTATTTGTCTGAAGAATGTCTGGAAATCTGTTATTGATGATCTAGAGGGTAAAATTGTTACGTTCTATCGATAGGGATCAATGGTTTTAATTTTGAAATATTGGTAAGAGTTATTAGTTAGTGTTGATTTCATTTAACTTTAGTTTCTGACGTTTTTGGAAATACAAATTTTTTTAGAAGCAAGTATATTTTGAATTGCTTTTAATTGGATAAAGAGAAAGAGAAAAGAAGAATAAGAAGATAATGGTAACTCCACATAGGTTTCTTGTTTTTTTTGAATTTTTGGAAGTAGTAGTTACATATTACATCGTTTTGGTTTCTATGATGGGTCGTCTAGGAGACGACAATTCATCGTTGTGGTCGTTATAGTTGTTACCAGTTGCTCTGTATTATATATAATATATCACTAAGAGAAGGAAGGATACATAAAGATTATAAAAGTACCTGCAGGAAATTGATGCATGCTACTTTTATCTTCTGAACTTGCGTGAATTCCGCCTCCATCTCCCTGCCTTTATTTTGCGTCCTCTGTGCACCCGCTCACTTCTTACCCTATTCCCTTAACTACTGTTGTCAGGTATCCATGTGATACCTTGGTAACCAAACGCTTAATTACTAAGATTATTTTCACGTTATGGGTTATGAGTGCTAGGCAACATTGGTTGGTTGCAAAATTCAGTATCCAATTTATTCTTTTCAGTCTTTAATTCAAATTATCTCCATGTTAACTGGAAAAATCCAAGATGTGTTATCGTCCAGTTTTTTCCCTTCTTTTGCAAATTTTTTTTGAGAAAATTTATTCTCTGAATTAACATATTCATAACTATTTTATACCACTATTCACTTGGATGTTGAATTACATTTGAAAAGGAAATGGTACATTTTCGGAAAATGGAAAAAGTTGGACAATTGAATTCCTAAGACCTGAAATAGTTATATATATAACTATGATTAGTTAAGTTAAACTATGATTAGTTAAGTTTGAAGTTTTTTTGGAAAAATGATTTTGCTTAAAACGAATTAACTGATTCAACGCTTTAAAAGCTCTTATTTTAAACGATTGACTGATTCGCTTTAAAAATAATATGCGAATAGCAAGAGATATTAGGCCTTATTTCCTTCAAGCTTGTGAAAAAACGGAAATAGGAAAATTGCTTATTCTTCAAGGTATTAAATAAATAAGTATATATACATATATATTATATATACATCAAAACTGATAAAATTTAAGGATTATTTTTTCCATATATTTTTATCAGTTCTTGAGAAAATATCTTCCCTGTAAGCTTACAATTACTTTTCCTGTTAGCTGATCAATAGTTTTAAATTCTACTTGGTCAAATTTAAAGTTGTAATTCAATTTTTTCGAATTTTCTGTTTTAAATGACTACTATTTTCTTTCTCTTTCTATTTACTATTGATAGGATCCGCATTTAGAATAGGCGTTAATGGAAGAAAATGAACGAAAATGCGGAATTTCAAAGAGATATTGGTAGTTAGAAAGGAAATATTATTAGAGCAGGTGTGAGTGAATGATTAGCCGCGCACTGAGCTAGTCATCATTATGATCATTATAATGTACCTCACCTCATCGTTTGCTCCCTTCCCATGCTTTATATATCCTGCCTCTTAAAGGCCGATCGAGTTCACCTGCATCCTTCACTCTTCCCTTTAAAGGGACCCTTTTCACATTTACATTCAAGACATTTGTTCGTAAAGTCGATGACGAAAGGAAGTCCAACTGGGCATCTAGACAGGTATTTGATTTTCAATTCTTTTTTCCGTTAGCTTTGAGTGTAAAGCTAAATCTACTGAAAATTATTCATGCTTTTTTAAAAAAACCAAACTTGATGTTCTGCATATGGGATCAGTTAGGGAGCGATAAGGTTTTTGTGATTTTATAAGGATCTCTATAATTTATTTCCTTCATGACATTAATTGATCTTTTTTTCATTCATTTCAACAAAGAAAAATGTGGAAAAAATGAAGGGATCAACTGTCGTGTGTGAGTTCGAATATAGCATTTGATTAACTGCTAAATGGTACCGCATGGTAGGTCAGAGACGAAGGATAATCCTAAGCATTTTAGGCAATATTTCGATAATATATTTATATTATGTTTGATTTATTTAAACTGTATCTATTGGTTACCGAAATTCTTAGTATGCTGAAATTTAACTTAGTTAAATTTAATTTAAGTTGATAGCTATGACAAATATTCTCATTGGCAAATGTCAGCATGTCCATTTTACATATAAGCATGAGAACCGTTTCCTCATCTGTTTCTCAATATTTTAGGGCTGCTTTCATTGTAATAAGATTATTAAGTATGATACTGGGTTTAGAT